TCTGGCCGCGAATGTATAAGTACATCCAGAAATGGGTGCGCTCCTGTGAAATCTGTCAGCGTGTGAAGACCGCGCCATCCTCACAAGCCCCATTGCGTCCGCTTCCGATTGCTACGGAAGCCTGGCGCTCGGTCAGCATGGATTTATCTTTGGACTTCCACCGGATGAACAGAAACGCACGGGCGTTTAGGTTCTAGTGGATCGATTCAGCAAAATGGTGCATTTTGCTCCGGTCTCCGCCAGCATTACGACGGAGACGACAGCGAAGATCTTAATTGATCTTATCTTTAGGCATCACGGCTTGCCAGAATCTATTGTTTCGGACCGTGACCCGCGTTTCACTTCGGCTTTCTGGGCCGAATTATTCCAGCTATTAGGCACGCGGTTGCTTATGTCTACGGCGGCCCATCCAGAGACGGATGGGCAAACGGAGCTTGTGTTCAGAGTGCTTGAAGATGTTTTGCGCAGTTATGCAACATCTTCTTGTCATGTAGTTCATTTCTTCCACTTGCAGAGTTTGCAATCAGCAATGCTGTCTATGCGTCAACTGGGTCGACGCCCTTTTTCGTTAACAACGCGAGGCATCCTCGCGTTCCGGAGCTGCTTGCTCTCTCAGCTTCAGAACACCCTGTCTCCAAGCTTGGTGGGGGAGTATCTACGGATGGAATTGCGCCGAAACTATTGATGATTGATTACGTTGCGCATAAGGTTGCTGCCGATGCACCTAATACTGGTAATTTCGTGGCCAACGGCATATCGACTCCTGACGCGATGCATTCCATCGCGTCTCCCGTTGCTAATTTTGCCCCAAAAGAGAATACGTCGCCTGTAAGCTCGGCTGCAGTAACCGAATTCCTACTAATACGACAAGGAATCACGCGTTTTGTGCGTGATGCATTACAAGAGGCAGTCAACAAGCAAAAGGAGAATGCTGACAGAAGAGGACGAAAGAATATGTTTACATTTCAAGAAGGTGACAGAGTATTGTTATCAACAAGTGGATTACCAAACACCTCAGTGACAAATTTGGGCGCTAATAAGTTAGCGCCAAGATATATTGGCCCATTTCGGGTTGTTAAGGTGCATGGTGACGCTTACACGCTAGACATAACTACATCTATGCGTTTGCACCCGACGTTCTACGTCGGGCGCCTCAAGGCTTACCTGCCGGCGGATCTCCCTCGAATCTTCCCCGCTCTTCTGTGCCGGCTCGAAATCCGACATCCCTTGACGACGACGTTGAAGACGACTGGGACCAAGTCCTGCCCGAACGCGTGCAGACTCGACCTGCTGGGGTCCTCCGAACGCAGTCGTCTCAAGCTGAAGTAGGCGCTCAACCAGTACCAGCTGCTCACGTCGAGTCCGCTCAGCAGCCTCAGTCGCAGCATCCGCACGATCTTGAGCTCTCTCAGCCATCTCGCGAGCATCAAGTAGGGCATTCTTCGACTCCTCGGCTTCAGCGCGGAGTAGGCGCAGCTCATCATTCGACTGTACAGGCGCCCGATTACGAGAATCGGCGCTCATCGCCAGAGGTCTTCCGTCGTGATGCTCCTCCTCCCTTAATCGATACATCGGTTGCGCGACGCTGGATTGTCGACCGGATTGTCGATCACGAGGACCACAAGTCCCAGGTGCCGAGTAATAACTCGGCGCCCATGAAGAAGCGTGTCGAGAAACATTACAGGGTTCGCTGGTTGGGATATTCCCCGGCAGACGATACATGGGAGCCATCGAGTACGCTGTCCCAAGATGTCCCGGACGTGGTCGAGGACTACGAGTCCCGTAGAAAGACGGTGATCGCGACCGACGCTGACGGTTCCATCCCCGATCTCGCGAGCCGTAATGCTCGCGAGCAACGAAACCGCGACGACCTCCCGAGCGACTCCGAGACCGAGACCTATTACGAGGCTCGGGAGCATATGGATGATACGGTTGACGATCTCGGCTACGTGAATGCCGTCGGCGATCGTAAGGACGCGTTCTCACTCGCCGTAGCTCGGACACCTGGAGCTCCGAAAGGCTTCTCTCATGACGATCAATTCATGGACGAATATGGTCGGGCATGCCTCGCGCACACACTAAGTCGTCCCATTCCTGCCGGACCGGTCGCGATCTGCCCACGTTGCACGTTGGACATCCCTCACGAATGTAGACGTAACAAAGGTGATACTCATCACAAGTCATACGACAGATGCACCGGCGCAGGTCGCCAATAGCGTGTCTATCACGCGTTCCCTCGCGACCGTCTAACCAGGACGTGAAGGACGTTCCTTCAAGTCGGCTCGCGTTCCAGCGCCTGATGAAGGCACACCAAGACCTCTGCAACGCATCGTCGGTATAAGCGTTGTTCGTCGCCTTGCCTCTCACTGTACAGTATCGCGTGAAAAGGTCCTTCAAGACCATACAAGCGCCACGGTTTCAGGTCCCCATCCATGACCTGCGGCGCCTGCTCTCTACGGATTGTCGCTTGGTGTTCCCAGTTCTGGCTTTCAGAGACATTGTTTCGTGGACGTCCAGGGTCCATGCTGCTTAGTTATGTCTAACTGAGCAGGTTCGAAATTACGCCGTTGGTCGAGAAAAAACTTTTTGCGTTTCGCGCTTACGTTGTGGTAAGCGCAACTTAAAGAGGGGGGGTGATGTAATGGGTCTACCTATTACATAAGTAGTTATAGGAATAATACATAATTACATAAGCAGGCATAGGGCAGTATCCGATTAGCGGATACTGCGCGTCATTTTATTATTGGTTTATTATTGGGGTGCCAGACTTAATAATTAGCCAATAATAAATTGACTTCCATATTGAGTGGTCCCCATAAGCTAGGGAACATATTCGCACTTACTGCAAATTTAAAATAAAACAAAAATAAAAACAGAATTATATTTACAAGTTAATTAAGAGCGCTTCCTCAACGCCCTTTTAGTGTAAGACGGTAACGGGTCCTTAGCCCGTTACAGACGTTCCTTCACGTCGACTCGCTATTAGCGCCAGATGAAGGCACACCAAGATCTCTGCAACGCATCGTCGGTATATGCGTTGTACCAAAAACTTTGCCATAACGATCCATCGGTCTTCTCACGACCCAAATGACCACCGATGGCGGTGTCATATACCTCATAGAGGATACGATACTTCAGGTACTCGTCATGAGGAACCGCAAAACGCGGAGGATCCGCCACATCTGTACGATAGTACAACAGCCCCTGATCGATATTATATCGATGGAGGCTCGCACGTAATCGTGCCGACAATTTAATGTCCGAGTCTTGAAACTCATCACTGCCAAGAGCATGTAGCAACGCTATACAGTGATCATCTTTAGCATACGCCGATCGGATGAGTATCAATGATAGAAGTCGACAACGTCGTAACATGAGCAAGCTCATAATCAGGTCTGCGGGACAACGCATCAGCCAAAGCATTTTGCTTGCCCGGCTTATATTTCACCTCGAAATTATATTCGGCAAAGAATGACAGCCATCTGGCCATTCTCTGCGAGAGATGCGGCGACTGAGTCGCAGTGCGTAAAGACGCATGATCAGTATAGTAAACAAAAGGCTTCGATCTCAGCAGATGAACTCTGAATATGACTAGAGCATACTTCATTGCAAGTATCTCTTTGTCGTGAAATGGGTAGTTTTTCTCTGCAACTTTTAGCTGACGAGATTGGAAGGCGATCACACCTCACACCCGTCAGCATCTGTTTGCAATAGATCACTGTGAATGGCAAAATCTGACGTGTCACATACGACGCTAAAAGGTCGGTCCAGGATTGGGCAAAGCCAAAATAGTAGCATGAAGAAGGCTAGCCTTACCGCTTCGAAAGCGTCCTCGTGTTCGGCATGCCTACACCATTCAACATACTTCTTTAGGAGATTGGATGATGGCCGAGTAATATCAGCGTAATTTTCGCTGTACTTATGCAAGTAATAGGCAAGGCCAAGCCATTTACGCAAGTCCTTCTAAGACTGTGGAACAGGCCATTTGACTATGGCTTTTACCTTAGCGGGATCCGCCCTGAGGCATCGCTTCCCAATAAAGCACCCTAACTGGGAAATCTCTTCGCACTAGATATACATGTAGATGCATTAGCATATACCTTATTAGTGCGCATGCACTCGAGCACAGCTCGTAAATGAACAATATGGTTCTCAAAGTCAGACCGCCCAGACTATGGACAAAAATGTCATCAGAGTACGTTTGTGCATAATTTCGATGGGGTCGAAACAATTGCGTCATCAAACGGTTGAACGTAGCCGGAGCGTTCCACATCCCTTGAGGCGCTTAGCTAACCACTCTCAGAGCTTACCGCTCGGAGTACTCACCGCAGTGAGCAGAATCTCGCTAGCTCGCATGAGCAATTGGTAATAACCATCGACTAAGTCGAGCGCACTGTACATGGTAAAACCGACCATATTGTTTTGAAGAATATCCTACTGAGGAATTGGCATCTTTGCTGGAATAGTGGCCACATTGAGCTTAATGTAAGCATGATCAATACGCCACTCACCATTCGGTTTGTTGACACAGAAAGTAGGTGTCGAGTGCGGAGATTTACTCTCGCGCACCATCGCCGCGTGCTTGGCACCCATCCAGCTCAGTCTCCATTACCACATATTAACATACACATATGATGAAAAACCTTCGTTTTATCTTGGATAGATTCACCTCGTCGACGTATGCCTTTATCGAGATATAAACGTGATTTTCCATGATATCGTCGTGTCCCAACGTCATATTCCGGGTGAATGTCTTTCTGACCAAATGACAGCTTACTAACACTAACATCAAATAGTTTGTCTTTTGACACCTTGGCTGGCATCAGTGCTTCTTTTTTTATCAAGCATAGTATTTTTTTACGTAACATTCTTTTCCTTTTTTCTCGACGCACGAATCGAGACAAAAGGAAAGAAAGTTACGCGATTCGTAAGTGCGTCATTTATTTTCTTCTTTTTTATTATTAAACGTAATTTTAGAAATTGTGAATCAATCACAAAGTATGCGCTGGTACTGCGTTCACCCAAATCTACCGTTGCAGGCGGAGCTGCGTATCCGCGTGGCGCCCGATAGTAGTGCCCCCGTACGAGGTCGCATCTCCCACGGTAGAGCTGTCACCACGGGATCTTTAGTAGTCCATGCTAGTGGAAACGATGACGATACTACTACCGACTCGTGGTTGCAAGTGGCGTACCTAGACGCGGTGTCCGGCGAGATGAAAGAAGGTTTCATGATGGCGGCACTACCGAATGGTATGTCACTGGTTACACCTTGGGAAACAACGGACTACCGGGGCTGTTGTGAGGTGATGGACCCGGTCACACTGATGTTCGACGGACCTCAAGACGCGGCGCAGAGCTTAGGAGCAGTGCAGAGCGTCGAGTTTCTCTACTGTATCATGGAGGAAAGTAAAACGCGAATTAGAATATTTCACCCAAAGCTGGAAAGCGTGTGGATTAACAAGGAGAGCCTGGAGGTCGTATGTACGAGGCTCGAGCACGAAGAGTGCAGCAGTACGTGTTTCTAAAAAAGCTGATAAAAGGTTAAAGAGCTAAATTTATCATTCATGTTGATGTTATCTATAGCTCCTCATGCATTTTACGAGATGAATGACAAGCTACCGGAGGAAGCGCAGATTGCCGTGCGAGAAAATCCGTCGAAGGAGGCGCATGTGGTGGGTCTACTAAGTCGAGACGAGACGTTGGAGGTTACTATGCGTAGTGGAAACTGGCTACAGATTGTTGGTGGCAGCCTTGATAAAGCGTGGATTATGTTCCGAACTGATGCGATGGAACTGCTTCAAAAAGCGCGTGACGTGTGTTCGAGCAATTGCCGAATGATACAGAGGGATGTTAAAGACATGGTGGACGTTGGAAATGCCGATAATCAGGCTTTTTGCGCAGATATACATACGGCAAACTCTTATTTGGTGAAGAAACAAGGCTCAACTACTATAGTGTCCCAGGTTGACCATGAACGTGACGCTACGCTGGAGGTAGTCGATATAGGGGAAATGGGGAACGAGCATGCCACTGTAACGGAGGATGATTTTTCAGGTATGACGGTAAATGTTGATACTGCTGAACATTCGCAGGCTTGGGAGGATCGTCCGTTTTGTCCAGCGCAACCAGTGGCTGTGGACGATGACAGTGCTACTGATACTACAGCTTCACGTACTGATGTTACCAATGACGTTGGAAACACTTCTGCTTTGGGGTCTGCATTAGATACTAATGCTAAATTTGTGGAGCCGGCTCGTGCTGTTCAAGCATCGGATGATCATCCTACTCATTCTGAATCATTCACACATGGTGAGGCAGATGCAGGTGCAGATGCCGTTGATGATGCCGTTGATGATGTTGCTGCTGCTAAAAATGTAGGCGTACACTTAAATGATACCAATATGGAGAATGAACAAATCGGATATACACGACGAATCAAACCAGCGCGAGCAATATCGAATGAAGTTGGAAATAATGACAGTAGTATTGCTATTAATAGTTCAGACATGGCCAGCAGCAAGAAGAACAATATGAAGAAGACCGAAAATGTTGAACTTGATCAGACCGTTGCTTCACAAGGTGATCACCCGACTCGGCTACTTTTTAAAGCCCCTGATGCCGTCGGTAAACCTGTCACAAATGCTGTGCATTCGAAGGCCACGATGATTAATACTGATGCTAACGACAGTAGTGCCGTAGGGCCTGACTTATCGTGGGATGATCGACCAATACGACCAGCGCGAAAGGGGCCAGCGGCAAGCAGCTGTAGTGTTGGTACTGGCACATTTGCTATAAGTGAAGAAAGGGACACTTTTACCAATCCTGGATCGCTGTCATGGGATGGCTCACTTCGGATAACAGCAAAATCGGATGATGAAATTGGTAATATTATTGATGCTACGGCATTCAGTTCTGCTGATATTGTGAGATATAACATCGCGAAGGAGACCGCGGAACTTGTGCAAAATGTTAAATCGTGGGACAATCTGTCGATTCGGCCCGTCCATCTAAATTGTGATGGGGTACCGGTGGGTAACGAAGACATGACCACCGGCAATGGGGCTATCAATTATGCTGCTGTTGCATCCTGTGATGACACGTGCGCTACTGGAAAGAAATTTGAGCTGTGGGGTGGCCGATCAATTAATCCTGCGCGAGCTCAATTTGAAAAAGTGGACACTAATATCAGCAGTACAGCTCATGTTGATAAAAGCAGCCCGGCTATTAGATTTAATGCGAAAGACAGTGCTGTGGAGGATTTAGGGCCCGTGCACAATAAGCAGCCAGGGAAACCTGATCGACCTGTTCAGCCAGCCCAAACTGTTTTCGACAGAACAGTCGGTAATGTCGACATAGTCGATAGTTCTGAGACGTGTGTTAATCTTCATGTTGCAAATTGCAAGAAAGAAGCTGCAAGGCCGTCGCCACGAAGTGATACACCGGCCGATTGCTCTTTACCAACGATTCCAAACGAAGCTGACGACGAAAGTGTTAATAGTGGCTGTGATAACTTGTGCTTTCGACACACTTATGTAGGGTACGACAAAATTGATTGCAATGATGACACTGATTCCCTTGCCGGCGAAAAGGAAACAAAAAGCAATGTTGTGGAGCCTAGTCCAGGGGACCAGCGATCGATTTGGCTAGAACAAACTATGTGTGATGCACCACCTGACGGTGATGTTAAAAGGAAACGAATTGGTGCTGCTATAATCGACGCAAATATTGCTAATGTGCCTTCTGCAAACGAGATCAAGAAAGAGTTGGAAGAGGGAAATCACCGACGAAATAGTGCAGCGCTGAAAGATTGTTTTACTACTGGGGGCGCCGGCAGTGCTGCCGTTACTGAAAATGTGCTTGCGGCAGCCATAAGTGAAGGCGACAATACACTTGCGGAGAAAATTGACTTCATAAACGTTAGACCGACTGTAATGGATGAGGTGGAAGAAGTGACACGGGTGCAGACTGCAACTTCTCAGGATTATCCTTCTGCGTTGGACGGTAAAGTGATCGTCTTTTCTGGCGCTGGCATTGAAACGGTGCAAGACCGAGACAATTTACAGTCGACGACTCGCCTAAATGTCTTCGAAAGACGCTATGCTGAGTCGGAAACGACGTCCGGGAGTGAAAACGATGAAATTGCGCTTTTGGGGGGCTTGGAAGACGTGTTTGATCCTGTGGATGAGTGGCTTTCAGCTATGCAGGAAGAGGATAATGAGGGATTCAGGAACGGTTATTCGGGTACCTTACCAGGAGCAATAAGGAAAACAGAAACATCGCGGAGTCGTGGCAATGCCATTAATGGAGAGCAAGGCGAGCAGTCGGATAGCAGTAAGGAGAGTAACAGCGCTTGTCATTCCGCTGAGGAAAAGACCCAGACTAAAGTTGCTGTACAGCCCGCTGGTATTTCACTCTTGCAGGCATTTGGTATTCGAAAGTACTGTAAACACAAACAAAACCTTATCATTTCGGCGGACGAGCTGTCCTTGGCAATGTATGAAGCGAGCCAAGACAACTCCGATCTCATATTTCAAGCGCTTGTTGGAGACGACCCTCTTAGTGACGATTGGTTCTATGATGTGTCGTTGCACAATTTTCAGGCGGACAAACACTTGTCTTCAAAGGATGTTGATCTTCAGAGTGCTGCCCCTCGATTGACGTTCGATCTAATCATGAGTGGCGCTAGTCCAGAAGACATATTGGCGGCCGAACAGTCGGACGACGATTGCGGAGACTTCGACCTGGTTAATTTTTTCAAGTACCCAGTTCCCAGACGAAAAGTGATCGGGCCGAGCAGACCACCTGCCCCCTTTGGACGCGTGACTAGTGCACCCGCTGGTATTGATACAAAAATTGCTGGCGCCACATTAAGAAGCAAGGTTGAAGCAATAGGAATTAGAAGCAGGGCTGAAGCATTAGGTGCGTCTTACGCGTCTCGGCAATCATGCCTTCCAAGTTACCGCATGTCGACTGAAACATCCCAAGAACCCGACATTACTGCTGTCACGTATTCTAAGACTGCGCTTTCCAAGCAATGCATCAGCCAGCGAAAGATACCTACACCGCGCTCAAGACTGCGACGGAATTCTGTTATGAATCCAGTAGCTATCAGTAAGTCACCTAGTTCTCTCGTGCGGCTTCGGTCGGTCATGCAGCCTTTGCATGGTGCATCGCCTGGAAGTTCTGCCGACCCAGCCTCCTCTGACTTGGCTCCGCCATTGGAGGCTTTGACAGCTTCCATTTGTGCAACGTCAACTTCTAGTTTGGCGCCACCTTCGCAGTTTTTCTTCCAGCGGCAAGGTTTTGTATCTACGCCGAGCTCTTCAAAGGCACTCAGCGCGCGAGGTTTGGCGAAAAATAGCATTACAAGCTCAAAGCCTACAGAAGTCAGTGGCTTGTCAGCACCGCGGAAGTCTTTTGGCTTTCGGCATCCATTAGGCTTAACTAGGAAGACGTAATGGGTTTACATTTCATCCAGCTACTTGAGTCCAAGACGTTTATGTACATGTTTAGTTAGTGTCGGCTGAATCATGTGCTGTACCAGAACGTTATGTAAAGTTAACATGTTTCGTTAATGTCACATACACATCAAGTGCAAGAGTGCATGCTGGTACCATTATAAACTCGGCGAAAGAATTTTTGAACGACGTTAATATTGCCACGAGCTAATTTTGCACGCGATAAGGGATGTTTCTGTCCTCCAGGAAGCGCTTGATCGAGTCCGGCAACTCCCCAGAGACAGACATGGCATAAATGCCGGGGATCAAGCGGACTACATCAACAACAATAGACAGAGAAACGTAAACCACACAATATGAGCCCAGTATAATTAGTACAGCCGATGTATTACTCCCTCCACATACCGATGCGTTGCCACTTAGCAACCCAGCTCTCCTTCGGCTGCATCATGGCAATCGTGCTGACATATACACCACATTTTATAGGGTAAACACTACAGAAATAGATTCAGCTGCCGAAATTTATTTGCAACGTACCCTTCGAAGTAGGCAGAGGTGCACTCGGCTACGCGCTGGCGGTTGTCGGCCATCTGCAGAAAGGCACAATTCTCGCAGCCCGTGTCATAGAACTGCGTAAAAGTCTTGACAAGAGAACACGTCATGCAGGCACGCAACTCGCGGAAAGTATTGGGGATGTCTGCGTGCAGAAAAGTATCGTCCACCTCCTCGTCGTCTTCGTCGCGCATCCGGCTCATGGCGGTGACAAATAAGTTCACCTACGAGTTCATGTGGTGTGCATACTCCTCTAGGTACGGATAAACCTTTGCAGGCTCTTAAATCATGTGTACCACACCGTTCTATTTTCGGCCTGAAAAAGAGCTCACTTTCGCGTTATTGGTCAGCATGGATAAATCGAGTAGCGTGGGTGTGGAGAAGACAAGCCATTTGCAGCAGGAAAATGAACCTACGCCTATACGACCTCTCTGTGCAATAATGTATGATGTGGATAGTAAATCAGCCATTACTGGTACGAACTGTGTTGCTCCTTTGGACGCACATAGAAGCCATGAGGAGATAGCAAGAGCGGACACAGCCATCGTCACGACTTCAAATACGCAATTTGTTTGCACGAAAAGACAAGAACGTAATGTATCTCTGTCCGACACAGAAGATGAGTCCGCTGATGTGATTCTGTCTGCAGACAAGACTCTTGTGAATAGAAATTTTGTTGCGACGGAAGCTGACGCTGTGTTTAGTAAGCCTGCGGTTGAGCTACTGAATCATTTTGGCAACAAGTCAGTTAGCGATGTTCTTGCTACCGATATAGGAGATAAAATTAGTCTTGCGGGGTTAGCATCGGTTGATTCTGCTAGAATTAATGGAATTGTGGAAGGTGTAAAGATTGCGAATACTAAACGCGCTCATGAGGAGAAAGGAGAAGACGCCGCATCACACATATATAGCCCACGAAAGCGTATTGCTCTTCAGACTATGAATAGTTCCGTTCCAAATTCGGCCGGCCAAACGACGGATGAGACCGTAGGTGATAGCTCAGATGACGTCGAGATGAGTGAACCGATGGGCGAGGAAGAGGTGCACCGTAATGATGCTGCCTGTGCGAGTGAGAAAAATAAACGTGTTCACGAGGAGTTCTGGTGCAACCTTACGATAAAACAGCAGGTGGACGTATATGACATTCGCACCGAGGAGTGGCTTGCTGCCAAGATTAAGCGCATAGATAACGAGGGTTACACTGTTCACTACATAGGCTGGAACTCCAAGTATGATGAAAAAATTGATAAGGCCGGAAGCTACCGAATTATGCCCCGAGCTACAAAGGCCACTAAGGCGTGGGCAGAATGTCAAGCTAAGGCCGACAAGCATCGACACGGAGTAGAAAAAAAGCCTGCAGTATTCCCGTCCATCTATTATTACCTTGAACGGGATCATGCGAGAGAGCGAGCAGAAGCGCCAAATTTTGTTCAAACAGGTCTTACACGGTCAGGGCGTGCACTTACTCACCGTGTTGAAAGCGAAGCTTCTAAGCCGAAGGCGCCTGGCAATAAGAAGAGAGATGTAAACGCTATGAAGTCAAAGTTTCCAGAAGAAGATTTATGTGGGGTATGTGGTGAAATTGAGGATGATGATCTTACTGACATGATATTGTGCGATGGCGGTTGCCTTAAGTCGTACCACTTTTCATGTCTTGGCATCGAATCAGCACCAGAGGGAGAGGAGTGGCTGTGCGAACAGTGTCGTACTAATGAACAATTGTGTTTTGCATGCGGACGCAACGGAACAATTAACGAGAAGGGAGGTGTATTTCGCTGCAGCGACGCGTGCTGTGGCAAATTTTTTCATCAAAAATGTGTTGATACCAACAAGATGTCACGTCGAGTAGGAAATAAAGCAAAGCCGGGCTTATTTACTATGAAGGAATTGTCCGAATCTGACGCTTCTTTTCGCTGTCCTCGACACGTTTGTTTCGTGTGCGAGGCGAAGAAAAAGAGTTGTGACCTTATGTGCTGCTTACAGTGCCCAGAAGCTTATCATCCGCAATGTGTACCTCCAAGTGCTCGCTACAACACGGTTGGATTACTCTGTTGGAGGCATTCCGAAAAAGAGTTGCCGAAAATCCCTTCGTTCTACTTTTCGGACCGAAAGATCGATACGGTGACGGTGGACTCCAGTTTACACCTCCCGCGGCTATTTTTGCCTAAGCGCGAACCGGACGCCAGCAAACCTGGCGATTGCCACCACTTTCGCCTTTTGCTAAATATCATCGAAGATGTTCGCCTACAGCCACCGACGTACCGCAATCTGGGTCGGAGCATTTACACTTTTAAGCATCCCAGGGTCTCACTAGAGGATGCACCCATGTGTATTTGCAGGAAAAGGTGTGGAGACGACTGCATCAACCGGCTGAGCTTTACGGAATGTTATGGACCAGCATCGACTCCTGGGATGAAATTTAACAAGCAAAATAGAGAATCGAACTGCATGCTTGGCGAGAGCTGCGGAAATCGCTCGCTTCATCAAAAGGTGTATCCCCGCTTTCAGAAGTTTCACACAGTTGAAAAAGGTTGGGGCCTTCGTGTACTGGAGCAGGTCAAGGTTGGACAGCTCGTGATTGAGTACGTTGGCGAAGTGATCAACGAAGAAGAAAAGGAGCGCCGCCTACTCGATCACGCCAAAAACAGCCCTGAAGACAAGAATATGTACATTATGGAGCTGGGCAAGGGCGAGTACATCGATGCACGATTCAAAGGAAGTGTTTCCAGATTTATTAATCACTCATGTGATCCAAATTGTCACTTGCTGAAGTGGCGTGTTAAAGGTGTCAACCGAATCGCTATCACCGCTTTGAAAGATATCGAGCCAGGGACAGAGCTTTCGTATGACTACCAGTTTCATACGAAACAAGCAATGGAGTGGAAATGTCACTGTAAGGCGAAAAATTGTCGCGGAACCATGGCACCGGATAAAATCAATCAAGCGCATGAATTGCCCGTGAAAAGGCTTACGAAAAAGGAGCAAGTCAAGCAACGAAAGCGTGCTCTGATACTCGAAAAGATTCTGCATGACAAAGAAGTCAAAAGTACTGCTAGGCGGCTTTCTTTGACGGTACAGGTCAGTACAGGTGACCGAACGACAATCAATAAGATGGCTGTTCGTACTGGCCCCGTGGCGCGCGAGCTGCAGTGGGCCAAGCACTATCATCTCTTCAACGTGCGTAATGCCAAGCACGGCTTCAATTTCAAGCTTCGTAAAGAGTTGCGAGATCTGAGAACTAGGAACCATGAAAACGTAAACCGAGAGCAACTTTGCGTATCTGAATTAACTGCAGCATCGAGTCGATCGTCAAGCCCAGTTCTTCTGTCTGAAAATAAGAGCGAGCCAGAGCGCTGTGAAGGAAGGAGCTCGCGAGAGACGAGCAGCCAGTCGTGACAATGGGTGCTCAACAAAAGCCTGGTGAAGTCGGCGTAGGGTCGCACTTGACTACAATGTAGTGTTTACGATATCGTGTAGAAAGCTATGCTTATTCGTTGAGTGCACTTTGCGTTCAATACTAATACAGCAAAACGTCTCTTTCGCTAAAGCCTACTACAGCGGTCATTCTTCCGGGCAGCTCGCTAATCTAGGTACTCCAACAACGAGAACAAGACAGCTCATTTCTAACGCTGTCATAGTTGAGCTAGAGTTTGAACCACGACGGCTTCTTCTTAGATGACTCTGCTCGTGCACTTGTTTGACGCGGTGGCTCTTCACACGACTCAGTCTTCGCTGCAGGCAGACTTTCTACGTGAAAGTAAAACAAGTTACCGTCAGCATTAAAGTTGTAAGGTAGCTAGCGTGCTCTACCACTCACCGAGTTGCAAGGGCTTTGGATAATCCGTATTCTGCGACGAACCAACCTTCTCTTTGGACTCGGCGCATTCGTCTGCCAGCTGAAAATACATGCGGTACACACAAGTACATTAAAGTTAGTAGTCCAATGGGATGAGCTGGGAAATCGCAGTGCGTCAAATCTAATTACCACGTCACCACAGAAGTAAAAACCAACGCTCGCCACCTCGGCTTGAGGAGGCACCTCTAACCACGAGAGATACGTCAGTGCAGCAGGTACGAGGTTCAACTCAACCAAGGTCTTAGTAGCCGCCAATCTCTGAGTTGGAGGCGTCACGTAGAGGTAAAACTTGCTAGCCTTATACTGGTCATCCAGACATTTCGTTACATGGTCCATCACATCTTGGATCGTTTCATTGGGGTGAAAAGAAGCCTGCATGACGGCTATGGATCCAGGTGTAGCACAGTGACAAGCACAATTAAGTTGCATGTCATGATTTCATTGCAGTAAGGTTCCACGTACCTCGATCCGGAAACTGAACTCGGATTAGCACCGTCTGAAAGACCCGTTTACGCTTGAGCTCATCTAATTCACGCATCGCCCGCGTACGGAAGTTCTAAGCGAGCATTGAGGAAAATCAGTCATTGCTCCACCAGTAGACGTACACATATTCTATCCAGCCAACCTTTGTCTTCTCCATCTCCACCTGCCGAGCTTTAAGGCTCGAGATTAATATCTGTGCGTCACTTCGTTCACTGCTGTCGAGCACTGAGCCAATAGAGCCACTTGATCGCTTTCCTTCAAGAAAAACAGTTGTGTTTCGAGGGGGTTTATCGTTTCCAATTAATTGCTCTTGCTTCGACTTCAGAGCATCAACAAGAACTGCAGTACTGCTCGGGCCTCGCGGTTGCATCTAAATAGGCACAATTAAGAAGAAACAGCTTAGTTTTATACTAGTCCAGCTCTGCTGCAGCATCAGTCATACCTGCACACGGGTAATCTGCGTCTTGAATACGTCAAAGGTTGGGTCCGCTTTCTCTTCACAAAGAACTGGACGCGTGTCCGATGAGATATTTAAGTCGTCGGCCTCAATACTCAGTAGCCTTAGACCCTCCTCCAGCAAACTCGTGTCGCGTGGATCGAGATTCAACACGAGCATTTGTGATTCTGGAATGACTGCAAATCCAATGGACGTCAAGAATTCGATGCCACCTTTCACTTGACCGACTGAGCGACAAAACGTCGTATTTGACAGTCGGATCGCGCGCAACTTTTTGTTTTCTGCGCAGCGGTACAAGGAAAATATTAAAAATGTCGTCACGACATACAAGAGATCCCTTTGAATTGATGTATACCTGGGTCGGACAAAATGTTCGTAACAATCCTCAGCAATGTCACGATGGCGATACGTGACACAGCATCAAAACTGTTGTCTCGCAACATTTGCAATGCATCATAAGTACTCATTTTCTGGATGCCCACATCGATTGTATGCTCAGCGGCCGCATCTTTCATTTCTACGTCTTCTGACTGCACTTCTGGAACACAATCCAATGTCTCAGGCACAGAAGAGCGGCAACCGGGCGGCGTAGATTCAATAGACGGAAACGAAACGTGACGTGTTTGCGGGGGCGTAGAGGGGCTTTGAGCGCTTGACGCAGCCAACGGCAGTTGTTCATCTGCAATCTGAACGCGAAACATCGCCGATCCACTCACGATGCCTAGTTCTGCAACAACGAGGAAAAGCAGTATTAGCAAATATCTTCCGACCTAGGTTGCTAACGTCATTCACCTTTCAATGTAGTCGTTGAGAAAGCATCGTAATTGATTTCGCGCCGCAGGAATCCAAGGAAGAACTGTCACCACATCAGCTGATTAGTTTCCGCCACAGCTGCGCGCCTCAATAGATAATTTTAATGCCACCTGTTTTGACGCTGGGAGCAGCTTAAAGAACGTCAACATACACTCGATCGTTGTGTCACTCCCAAAGGTCGCTTGAACGCGCTTGCCATCGTGCAACTGGATACACACGCGAACTTGTTGCACGACAAGCGTCCGTTCGAGCTCAGCCAGCTCCACAGAGGCATTGTTTGAGATTCCCGTCAAACGAAAAGGGATTGATAGATCAATGGGCTTGCCGCGGTGCAGAAGGTGATACTGGCGCGAATCGCGCAGGTCGAACTGCTCTCGTGATTCTGTCAACACTCGGAACTGCACAGCCATTTAGGCTACAATTAGATGTTAAAAGAAGTAGACATAGAAGTACGCAGTCATACCATCGTTGTGTTAGGCGTAACCTTTATGCGCTTGGACTGGCTGTTAAACTCTACGTTCAGCGCCATCTTCTTTAGCTTTCCAATAGCAAGTATAAATGACCCAAGCCGGTTAAAACAAAGAAACCTCTGTACTCGCATGATCTATTCTGATTGGCTACTGGAAAAGGCAAATTTGTTTTCAAGCTTTTCTTGCTCACTGTTGTTGCTTGTAGTGATAGCGCAGGTAGGGAAGCTCCACGTCCTCTCCATCAGCATCCATAGCACATACCTCGAGAATAAGGTACTTCAGCTTCAAATCAATGGGCTTCTTGGTCACTGTGCGAACCAGATCCGAAATCTTCATCGCCATGCGCTCCTTCGATCGCGACTTTTGAGAGTACATGGCATAGAGGATTGTGACGCCATACGATAGCATCGTGACCTCAGCATCGTATTCCTTTTCAAAGTAAACCAAAAATTCTTTCAGCGTCATGTCGCCTTGATCGACCTCTAGACGGTCCCACGCCGTCCACTTGTACTCCTTGCCTTTTAGCAGTGTCTTAGTAGACTTGGGTTCGATTGGCTCGGCAAAGGTAAACAGCGGCAGCGCAAGATTGACAAAGCCGTTTTTGTAATGATCCAACGGTTTGTCCTGGAAGACCTTCAAGAACTCAAAGCACACGAGTCCTGTCACAAGTGCTGTTGTCGTGGCAATGGCCGGAATGATTTTGCCAGCAATGAAACGCGACTTGTGCATGTCTTCCTCCGGAATTTTATACGACCGAGCGCGCAGGTTGGAAACAGATACGATAACTTCCATGTGCGAATCATCGTCCTTGTCAAACTCAATGGGTTGTATGCGGTATCCTGCAAGGGTTGACGGTTTTGGCAACTCCTGCATAATGACGTCACACTGAGCGTCTGCGTCATCCAGCCCTGAAGAAGCATTGCCTTCCTTAAGTTCTGCATCAGAAGCTGCAATTTTCACGCCCTTTTTCGGCGAGAACTCCGGAATGTGAATGCCAGCGAGAACTTGCGCGAAAGCGTCTCTGTCTGCGTGCCCTTTAAGGCCGTAAATCTTCGCGCGATTGTTGGCGACCGAAACGATAAAGTCCATGTGAAGCGGGTCCTTCGGGTCAAACGAAATTGGGGTCGGCGGCCGCTTCAGTCCAGACCAGAATGGAGTCCTTGACGTTGTCAACTGGATTGAAGAAAAAAGTTGGTTAATTGGCATTAATAGAACAAGCAAATTAATGAGGTCGCGAGGCATACCTGATCCAGTGGGAAGTTGTACAAAAGCTGCTTAAGCTGGTTGCTGAAGAGTACTTCAAACTTAGTACGAGCCCATGAAATACAGTCTTCAAACGACATCGGGCGATCATCCACAAGGGTACTTTTCAATCGCTCAAGTGTTTCCATCTTGGTATTTTGCTGCTCGTTGAGCTCTTTCATAAATGCCGGCTCCTCTAAGTAACGATTAGCGTCCGACGGCGCCTGGAAAAACTCGCCCTCAAACCAATCACGCGCCCACTGAAGAGTGTGCTCAATTGCATTAGGGAAGTTTTTAAGCGTGCAAATTGGAATGCTCTTCTCAGGAGGATCCCGAGATGCGCCGTAGTTTTCGGTTTTGTGCGGAACGACAATTTGAGTATTACCCTTCGTTCCCAACGTACCAGACTCGAACATTGGGAGACCGTAAAACAAACAGCGCTGATCCATATATAAGCGCGCCTCCACGTTATCCAGTGCAGTACACACACCAGAGAGCGTCTCGAAGAAGTCATCATTGAACTGATCTTCAGATTCTGCGCCGACGCGAGAAACGTAGGCTTGCACGTTAACGTCCGGATTCATTATCTTGATCGCCTGAGCAGCAACTGAAGACTTTGCTTGTTGTACATCCTTTGAGCGAAACAAGAACTGGCGGTTCAGATTCGACTTTTCGATTGTGTCCATGTCCGTGATATATATTATGCCATCCTTGTTGGACGCTACCCCCAACATCGCCCAGTTCTTAAGCATTTCGCACCCGATCGCACCAGCTCCAACAAGGAACATGTTTAGGCTCTGGATCTTTTCTTGCAGCTTCCGACCAAACACGACAATCTGTCCATCGTATCGGGATCCAACGGGAGCAAACTCGTCCGGAGCGCCCGCAAATACAGCGTCAGGGAGGCACTCTACCGCGTCAAAGTAAAAAAACTGCTGAATTGGAGTAAATTTGCCGCTACATGCCTTAAGGACTTCCTGGCCAACAACACCTCCGAGGAAAGCTGCCATTGGTGAAATCACACCTGTAGCGCCAGATGCGAGAGCATGAATAATCTTTTTCGAATCAGCAGCATTAATATCCTTAACGCTGAACTGGTTTTTTGAAGCAAATTGCTTGTTAATCTCACAAGCGAGGTTGCTTACGTCCTCCGCATCTTGCAAGCACCCCGGTCTTGGATCGCTGCCTTGATGTTTCTCCCGAAACGCATCCAATGCTTGAAATGCCACATGTAGCAGCTCAGACCGACCTAGCTTGGCAAAATCGCTAATCAAAAACTCCCCGGGTGCCGCAAGGGCATTTTCTAGGTTTTTAAATCGGACAATCAGAGGCTGCTTCACCTGCGTAACGTAACCACCTGTAGACGGCTGTCCCAACTCAAACCGCCTTCTGTCGGCGTCATCAATAATATCCAGGGTGAATGTAAATGGGCCAGTCACCGTTACCTTTCTCGGTTTAGTGTTGTTCAAAAACGGAAAGCCTACCACTTCGCGGAAGACGACCAAATCCCCGGTTTCCAAGTTGTGGCGTGTGTCATCATTTACAGTAATCAAAGCCGGCGCAAAGTTGGAAATGGAAGAGATTAGGCAGCTCACAGGTTCCACACCATCACGATCGGAAACCATAAACTCGTCTCCAAAGTCGCAGAAAATAGAGCCAAAAACGCCTCGTGCCTCGGTCGTTATGAATGCAATAGAGTTGACGTGACAAACAGCGTTAATACGGTTGGCCTCTTTTAGCGAGGCGTTGACGAGAACCACCGCCTGTGACAGGGACAATCGCCAACAACAAGAAATTTTAAACAATTGTTAGCACCAAACATCTCAAACTACTACAGCACTTTTACCCCACACGTACTCGAAATTGAAGCAAAACCTCCTCCGTGATCTCGCCACTATGGCAACGGACAGGCACGTAAGGGTTCAGCTCCGCCAGTTTCTTCACCGAAACGGCTGCACGTGGTTTTCCGACATCAGCTTTGGACAGATAAAACTGAGAGGCTAAGTCGAGCATCGTGGCTGGCGTATCGTCGTGTAGCGTGACGCTCTTGACCCCTGCCAAAATGACATTTTTGGCGATCTCCACGCCAAGGCCATTGAGCCCAATGATAAGAACGTTGGATGCTCCCATACGCAGCTGAGCCTCGCGGCCCATCACATAAAGCTGTCGACTGTAAAGCCCCTCATCTATCGCAGTAGCGTCGGTGTAATTAATGTCCATGACGTTGTCGGTCACATGTACCAAGTTTCGGACACCGTCAGCGGTATCCTTTACATCCCCCGCCGTCACGACGTGTGAACTCATAGCAATAATGCTGTCGTCGTAATAAAAGAGAAAGAAAACATGAATATCGTGCTCCATGCCGAGGAAGCGAAAAATAGAGCACCTTGCCGTTACTGTAGTTGTACGACACGATACTATCCATCCTTTTAATAAACTAACCTTAGCTTCGTGTACTTGTTAAAGGGTTTCAAATCTGTTACAAACTGCTGTCGTATTCTCAGACGCAGTGTGACCTGTACATAGAAGAGAAATTAGCACGCGAGAGAGAATTTTCGGAGGTAGGAAAGTTCCCCGTAAAGAAACTGTGTCGCTATGTGTATGAAACCGCGATCTTGCTTACCTTGTTTTCTCCTTGGTTCAGCGACAAATGCAGAGCGTCAGATCTGTTTTGCTCATCGATTGGTCAAAACTGGTTTAAGCCAATAAAGAAATGTGTCGATTTTTTGAAATATGAAATGAGACATTCATTGCCATCACCAGCGGAACGTCGGTTAGTTTGAAAGAAGCTTTATCCACAACAATCCAGTAGATCTAAATGGGGAAGAAGCAAGGAGGTGTGAAAAGTGTAATGGCTACAATATGCTTCAATTACTGATTATATGACGGAATTTGCCGTAGGAGGCCGGCGCATGCGTCATGAAGAAAATGATGATGATGAAGCTGCGTCTATAGCGTCGGTGGAGACGCGCGGGACCTTCATGTCGGACGACAGAGAGTTCTACGACGGATACTCAAAGAATTTGGACGACGACCAGAAAGTTGATGAGGCCATTGAAGAGCTGACCGAGAAGAGGTATGTGCATATACATGCCTTGATGAGCATAGAATGCACGCTCCTTTTTTACAATATTATCCTATACGCACATGTACTTAGAACGACCACACGGGTTGCTGCCATGGAAAATCTGACTACCTACCTACTGCAATACTTGGCACCGGAAGACGTCAACGAAAGGTACGCATGCACCACCACATTAAAGTTATACAATGCTAGACCAGGACGCTGAAATAGTTATAATTGCCTCAGCTTCTTCGACAATGTGCTTGGATGCTTGCGCAAGCCGTCTGAAGACGAAGCAGTGTTAGGATCTCGTATTCTGGCGATCCTGGCAATCATTTTTGGAGATGATGAGGAGCGCTTTTACCAGCGATCGAAAGCCGTGCTAAATCCATTGATCAAGACAGCCAAAACCGCAAAGGTTAAGGTGGCGGTATGTGATGCATCCTACCGTTTGATTGACCTGTTACCATCTAAGATCATGCTTACGCATTTGTCATGTGTTTAGACGATCCGTGCGCTCGCATTGATCTGTTTTCTGAGCAGTGTTGAGGAAGAGAACACTTTAGAGCTTTTGGGGCTACTCGAGACGTTTTTCAATCCGAAAATTATTGGCGATATTTGCAAAGCAGCGCTGGATTCGTGGGGGCTTGTTGCTTCGTCCCTCTCAGACGATATCCTCGCTAGCGATGAATTGCTGGAAAGGTATATATATAGAAAGTTTTGTTTGTCTTACAGCACAATGTCTTGCAAACCATTTTTTTGCCCGATTGCATGCTTACGATTGACAGACTGGTGCCGAAGTTTCTGGTCTTGCTCGAGCACAAGGACGTCGACGTGCGTTCTGCCGCCGGTGAGAATGTTGCTTTCCTGTACGAATGCGCGCAGTGTTGCGGTGTTTCTCTGCCATATGGAGAAGAGATCGTGGGACGTTTCCTTGAAATGAGCAAGAACAACAGCAAGAAAAACAGCAAGAAGGATTGCAAGACACAGCGTTTTGTCTTTCGAGACATTCACTCGACACTTGCTGTAAGATTTGAACCGTGCGATGTAGGACAAACCTTTGAAGTGATCGTTACTGACTTTGATGTGTTGTTTGTTTTGGATAGACCGGTGAAACTCCACACGTCTCTTTTACGGTGAAAGGTGAGGTGCTAGAGATCAGCACTTGGCGATCTGTGAAGCAATTTGAAGCGGTGAAGGATTGTTTGCAGACTGGCCTTCAGGAGCACATCAAGTACAATAATGCGCTTCGTGCGATGCTGGACTTGCCTGAGACTTTGGAAGACCGCAATGTGGACAGGGTGCGTTGTCATATTTTTAGCCCTACTTTTGATTTGGCTTGTTGTGATGTCTGATTGTGTGGAGTAGAGCGATATCTTTGACAAAAAGTCTGCTTCGAGGAAGCAACGCAGCAATGAACTCAAGGGGGACCGTAAACGGAAGCAGCATATGCAGGATGCCTTTTACGACGATGATTTTCACTAGTAACCGACACCTGCACGGAATAGTATTAGCTTTACTGTAGAAGTGTTTTCGCACTTTAACATCTCGCTTGCAAACAACTTCAAAGTCACTACTACTTTACGTTGTTGAACAGCCCAAAGTGTCAGCCAGTAGCAGGTTTTCTGCAACAGGAGCCTGCTATCAACTCACGTGCAGTTAGTCACTCGCCATCTTGTTCTGTTATAGCAATACTTTCTTTTACTGACTACTAAAAAATTGAACGATTAAATCCATGTATTAGGTGTCAAAACACCTAGATGGTAACAAGAGAGAAATAAAAGCCCTACTACATACCTTTTCCTTGGCTTAGCAACCTGGCCATGTAGCATTGAATTAGAGATCTAGTTTGAGGGTGAAACACCTTCGGTGCTTGTTCTCTACGCCACCCTCTTCTCCTTTCAAACTCCCACGACTCGCCTCACGAGTGGGGGATACTGCGGGATCGACTACGGCGGTCTTTCTTGGCAGGCGACGGGGACCGGCTACGGCTGCCTTTGCGACGAGAAAATTCGCCCTTCTGAGCATCATGCGACCCACTGTGCGAGCGTCCTCGCGCAACGTATCCTCGCCCACGACTGCCACTGCGACTTCTACTCTTGCTTCTGCTCCTGCTGCGATTTTTGACACGATGATCGCGATTGAACGTCCTTTCTAGCTCACGCTGCATGGACCGCGGCACCGTCTTGATGTGCATAAAATTGCAATAGCCGCCACGATTGCACGTACCCTCATCAAACTGTCGGCAACGCGCTTCTCTGAAATCCGTCACAGGCGAGAATTCGCACACAAGCGGTCGTCCAGCATAGAAACGACCGTAAAGAGACTTTTGCGCCGCTGCCGCATGCTCTTCGTCGTCATACTTGGCATACACGTTGCCTACCAGGTGATCTCCTAGATTATCGCAGATGTTAAGCTCCTCCAGCTTGCCAAACTTGCACAACTCTTCAAATATTTCCTCGTAAAAGTCTTCAAATTCCTCATCCACCTGGCGCTGGTCCAGTGACGCTAGATCTCCGTTCTGTGCGATGACCTGTGCGATCGGGTTTTGGTACATGTGGCTAACTAGGATAGTCTGGCTGAACACGGGCTTGTTGTGCAGCCGAGAGCAACGGTCACCATGACGGCAGGCACCAATTTTGAAGTAAAAGGGGCAGTTCACGCGGTCCTCCTCCGTACCGTGGATACGCGCCAAATGCTCAGCGCCACCGCCACTCTGCTCGCTGCGACGCCCGCCCATGCGTTCTCGGCCGTAGCCCCCGCCGCTCGATCGACCGCCGTACCCTCTATCGACTCCTCCAATACCTCCCCCTCCTCCATACCCGCGGTCTCTGCTGCGATCTCGGCCGCGTCCACGAAACTCGTCCCCGTACCTGCTCGCCATATCAATTTTCACGAAAAGATTCCAGAACTGGTTTCCACTCCACTCGCTTATTTTTGGGTAACATTATATTTAACAGGTATCCTGTTAAATTGGATTCTAATTTGCTAGTAGGATAACAGGAAATATGATATGAGAGGAAACACTAGGCCAATTCAAAACGTACTTCTGATAACACGGTGCCACACATGAGTCGCTTGTATCTAGATTTATCCTGGGAAGAAGCCGAAGTCGAGGCAGAGCCGCTCGCAAGATGGCAACGAAACCACAACAGACACGACGACGAACGCTACCTCTGGTTCAGCACTTACGTGCGTCCATCTGGTGTGTCTTAGAAGGCACTGGAGACCATATCCTGCTCGACACTAATCAATCCTTTGCTTTTGTCGTAGATGTTGTAGAAGCAACGGAGCATCGAACAAAATACGAGTATACAGTAACCGGGCGAAGACGTACAAAACCCGGATCAAGGACGACAACGTTAGGTTCGTGGGTGGTCCAATATCCTTGAGGCTTTCCTGTTCCCTCGACGTATTGACACCATTTCGACGTATCATCATTCACCCAGGGACGAAGGTGAGAGTAAATGGAAAAACAGTGGCGATATATAAATACGAAGGTGGATTCTATGCTATTCAAAATGCATGTCCCCATCAAGCCGCCTCGCTACATCTTGGTGATATCGAAGACATTGACGGCACGCCATGCGTCTCCTGCCCTCGACACAGGTGGCCCTTCTCGCTCGAGGACGGTCAATGCATTGTTCCGGTCAACCTCCAGGCGGAGTGCTATCCGGTCCGTGTTAGACAAGAGAGAAATGGATTGAAAATCCTCTATGTAGGGTTCACGGCGATCACCGATTTGTTGTTCCACGACGATTCTTTTTAGAATCATATCGCTGCTAGGTGATTCTTTGGAATGATTATGTGATAGATAAGGGCCCTGCGACAGCAGCAAGCTACAGTAGCGTCTTAGTTATCAAAAGTGCTTCCGTGGATGGAGAATAAGCACTGAGGCAGGGTGCTTTGTATCAGGGTTTGTACGAACCTTATACATGTCTGTGATGTGGCGTTCTGTCTGAGCGTGAGTCAGGCTTTGAACTGAAATGCTTGTTTTGATGCAGTGAGTAGAGTTGCAACCATGACATCGTAGACTATCGGGTGTTTTGAGCCGCTCTAGACTTAGAATGGCTACTTAGTACCTGTTCAACAACGTGGACGCCGCCCAGAGCTTTGCTTCGTTCCAGCTAATTGATTCACACCATGAGGCGGGTCTTGTCGTTTATGTAGCGAGCACTAGCAGGGTCCATTCACTTACGATTATAGTTTATGATCTACTTCACATTAGTCGTTGACGGAAAAGACGTCAACGAAGTTATTGGTGGCGCGTTGAAGTCGCGAGCTCAAGAAATCAAATTGAAGCGCATTGTGTATTTTAAAAAAGTATCACACAACTTGACGCATAACCCTTACGATTCGCAGCTGGCGCTGCTGTAACAAGTGATACACCGTGGACTAAAAAGGCAAACACGATTACTATTTTCCGCCCGTGTAGTCCAAGGAGAACGAAGCTTCCTATTCTATCCTTGCTCAAAACGACATGGTGACAACGGAGTGCACGCCATCGCTTACATAACCGTGGCGAGTCGGTCGTAATCCACAAGCTCTCCGCAGTCGGTACCGAACACAAGGTGCCGGTCGTTAAACTTTGTCGAGACGAAGCGTGCGGAGGGATTTGGAGGTTTAAACCATCGCACAGGATTAGGCTCGTACCATCTCCACAACGCCGCCTACGCAGTAGACGAAGCAGAAAATCTTTAGCACAAGCTACAAGCAACCATGTCATCACAGAGAGAATTACCTTGCCGGTTGATGACACACTAACAAGCTTGCGGTTATCAAACTGAAGCGCTTTAACACCACCGTGTTCGTGATTGCTGAATGTACACAGAGATTGTTGGGTTCGCACATCCCAAGCTTCCATACCCTGATCTGAGTAGCCTGCAACAACTACAGTCTCGTCCATCTCGAGAGCCGAGATCGCACCTTCGCACAAGGCAGATTTTGACAATATCTTCGCGCTCTTTCCACCCCACCAGCGTACGGAACCCTCATTACCAGCTGACCATAAAACCCGTCCTTTAGTATCTGCATTGACGACAGCACCTGCGCAACATTTTAACAAAACTGGTTAGCCAGGGCAAATTAAGGTACAATGATCCAATGATGAATACATACCTGGATGCCCAGCGAGTCGGTGTGTGAGTCGGCTGCTGCGCAAATCGAAGACACGAATGAGACCGCATGATGTGCCGCATACGAGCGTGTTACGAAGCAGCATCAAACTCGTAATCTGCGGGCATGTTTCTCTCTGTGATCGTGGTAACATGGACTTGTGGATTTTACTGGACGAAATGGACACGATAATTTCTCCTTTCGTGACATCCCAAACATTTGCTTCCCCTTTCTCTGTTGACGTCGCTAAGTGTAGAAAAGTGCCATCGTTGTGGTCGACTCGGACCTTTACTACCTTGTCCTTTGCGCGTGTTCTGATGAAAGGGACCATTCCTAGGCTGGAGCGGTGGGAGATTGACATGGTGGGAGAAGCATTCACTAACGGCGTTGTATCGAGGTTGCGACTTTCTAGCGCCGAAAAGCTCCAAACCTTGACTGCGCCGTCGGAGCAGCCAATAGCTAGGGCCTCGTCACATACGTCGTAGCACGATGCATTGGCTTGTGTCATTGAAGCGCGCAGTTGCTGCTTTTCAAGCGACCACAGATAGAAATTTGCGCGCTCTTGATCAACAGTGCCCGAAACTAGCTGCACTCATGTAGATAATTTTGTTAACAGAATATGACTCGACATAGTGCAAACACCACTGATCACGTACTCGTGCGTCTTGGTTTCGACTAAATCGGTTGCTAAGCAGTCCAGGATTCTCAAATGCTGTCCGAGAATTCTTCTGCATCTCATTTTTTACTTGCGGCACGTCAACAAAGCCGAAAGAACGAGGACGTTTGTCAAACCACTCGTTTTCCGCCGTCATGAGCTTCAAGTCGTGCACGTATTCTCGCATGGACGTGCGCTCATTCAACAGGCATGCTCGAATGGCAGGAGGCGACCCTCGTCGGTTCACATTACTGTCATTGCATCCGCATTACGACTTAAGTCAAGTGCCTAGTTAAAAAGACGTCATAAAAATGATAAAGCAGGAAATATTACGGGGAGGGTGCGTCCACCTCACGATAGCAGTAATTGGCAGCGCGACGGAAGCAATTGATCAGCAGCGGCTCGTACGGAACACCAGCTGATATCTCCCACACTGACGGCTTCATCATTTCCCTGGCCCAATTGCGGTTCAAGCACACTACATACAGGTACAATAGCTGTCAATATCCCAGACACCAAATCAAGCATCGTTTTTCGTCATTGTTATCGCATTTAGCGACGCACCAAGCACTCGTGTATCTACAGAGCCCACAAAGGCAACCACCCGTGCCAGCAATGTCGACTTTCCTAAAATCACGTTAATCGGGGCGGCAGGTACCTCAGCGTCGACTTGATCCGCCATCGCGTCGGTCGCTTCTTTCCTGATTCCTCGGAATGCGAGGGGGAACGTAGCTGATGTCCGCACACAATACCATACCGATAGTCATCATTTCGGTGTCACTAGTCTTATATCGTACTTGGATTGGAGAACAACTCTATGAGATGGTGACATAGTGCAGATTCTGATAAAGCCTCTGTAATATTGATATCGGTATTAAAAGGTCCATACGAAGGGGGGAAACCAGAACAAACCTTGGACGTTAGCTGTAGTAACCGCCATGTCGTCGAGTGAAGAGGAGCTAGACCGTAACATGTCGGAGGATGAGGACGCTTCAGAGGACGAAATTCCAGAAGAGGAAGAGGAAGAGGAGGAAGAGACGCCTGTGAAAAAGCGCAAGGCCGTCGATAGCAAATCCAAGCCCAAGAAGCGCCGTAAGCCCGTCAACAAATTTATTGAAGAGGAGGCCGACGTAGACGAGGACGAGGAAGAAGAAGAAGACGAAGATGATGATTTCTACCGATCCGAGCGTCAAATGGCCGAAGAGGTCGAGGCCGGAAACTCGTACCGCTATGAGCCGCAGGACCGCACGCAGTTTGACGAGTCAGAGAGCGCCGAGGCCATAGTCAACCGGATCAAGAAACGCCACCAACAGAGTCGTAGACAGTACGATGGTGAGGAAGACAGTGGTGATGTGATCCAGAGCGAAGTGGCGCAGCAGTCGCTTCTTCCATCCATTCAGGATCCGCGCATGTGGGTGTTTAAGTGTAAACCTGGTCGCGAGCAGCATCTCGTGGTGGCACTCATGAACAAGTTCGTTGAGTTTGCACGCCGTGGCGAACCTTTGATGGTCAAATCTGTGGTGGCCTCCAACTCAAAGGGCTTCATCTATGTGGAGGCGGAGCGCGAGCCGCACGCGAAAGATTGTCTAAATGGTTTGCGTGATGTACAGCAATGGTCGATGAAGCTGGTGCCTATTCATGAAATGACGTCGGTTCTGAATGTTCAAACGCGGAGAAAACCGCTAGTTGCTGGCGCTTGGGCGCGGATGAAGCGCGCAGGATTGTACAAGGGTGATCTGTGCAAAGTTATCGAAATCCTTGACAATGGGGCGCGTGCTGTGGTGAAAATGATTCCGCGGCTGGACCCAGTTGTTTTGTCGGGTGGGGAACAGCTTAAATACAAAAAAGGTCAACGTCCACCGCAAAAGCTTTTTCACACGAACATGGTTCCCGGAGCGGACGTGGCCCGTCGCCGGTATCCTTCCACGGGAGAAATGATGGACTTTTTTGACAATGATTTCTACCAGGAAGGTTTTCTTATAAAGGAGGTGAACATTGCTACCATGCTGACAACAGATGACGTAAACCCGACGCTGGATGAGATCAATCGCTTTTCGTCTGTTGCAGAAGAAGATGGCGAACATAGTGCTGAAGATATGCTGGCTTCTGTCGAAGCTGATGATTGGAAAAATAAGGTCGAGCTCACTAAAGGTGATACGGTACGTGTAATTGAGGGTGACCTGATTAACCTCATGGGTGTCGTGCTGAATACTAACACAGCCAACGACACCGTCCGTGTCATGCCGCTTCACGAAGAAATTAAGGATACGATCTTGGACTTTCAGCTAAAACAGCTTATGAAGTACGTGAAGGTTGGTGATCACATTAAGGTGATATCTGGCATGTATTCGGGCGAGACTGGCACGGTCGTAGCAGTGGATGATAGCGAAGGTGCTCCTGTTGCTGTTGTGCTTGTGGATAGTATGGCGCGTGAAATCCAAGTGCGCGTTCGCGATTTACAGGAGTCGGCTGAGATCTCCCAAGGATTGGATTCATACAAGGGTAAAGAGCTTTACGACCTTGTTGCTCTTGCACATGGTGACGTGGGCGTGATTACGCATGTCGGGCGTGAGGGCTTTACAGTACTTTGTCAGAATGGTCAATCTAGGGTTATCTCCGATCAGGAAGTGCAGCGTAAGATACAATCTTCGCGCACAACAGCAGCACTGGACAAGAAACACAACCACGTTAGTGTTGGGGAAATGGTTAATGTTGTGGAAGGAACGTTTTCAGGCCACAGTGGAACGGTGAAGCATATTTATCGGACATATCTTTTCGTTCACAATAATCGCATCACGACCAACTCGGGTATCTTTGTGACACGTGCGCGTGGCGTTATCCTGTCAGGAAGTAAGGCGCGTTCGGATATGATTACGAAGTCAACGGTGCCTCGAATGGATGCTGGAATGCGTCAGCAGAATCAGCGAGGTGGCAGAAACCCGCGTGAATCCGAATTGATCGGACAGACGGTGAAGGTGAAAAAAGGGCGCTGGAAAGGCTACATTGGTATTGTTGTAGATGAAAGCGATCAAAAGGTCAAAGTGGAAATTCATTGCAAAGCAAAGGTTGTGGATATTGATCGAATACATATCAGCGTTGCTGGCACGCGTGAAGGTGGAGTGGTGGACAAGCCTCGCTATGCAGGAACTCCGATGACTGGCACTACGCCGCTTCCGTCGCAGACACCACTTCACGGAAGTGCGATGACTCCTATGGCAACACCACTGCATCGTGGAATGAGTACTCCGCAATCATCCGGACGCGCTGGTGAGGCATGGAATGTTGCGAATGATGATGCACTGCTAGAAACGCAGATGAATCAGGAAAAGGATATTACCCACGCTACTAGCTTCGGCACACCATTGGAACCTGCTGCGCCGTCGAGTGATATGTCGAGAAGCCGCTATTCAAACCCGACGACGATGATAGCCCCGCGCTCTCCAAGTGGAGATGGCATGATGCCTGTAACCCCAGCTGCAGACTCTACGACTCCTGGAGTGAACTCGACATCTGGACTGCAGCCGAGGACTCCAGCCTACATGATGGGGCATAACCCGACGACGCCCGGTCTGAATCCGATGACACCAGGTTTGAATCCGACAACACCCGCACATCTGTCTGCTTCCACACCTGGTATGGGCCACGAGCCAATGGGAATGGAACCGATGACTCCTGGCTTTAACCCTACGACACCTGGCTTGTCGGCGATGACCCCTGGTCTTAACCCCGTGACTCCAGGAATCAATACTCCGGGATACAACCACAATCCAATGACTCCTGGCTTCGGCGTGGCAACTCCCATGGGTCGTATGAACTCTGCTGCCACACCTGCAGCGACGCCTGGCATGATGGGAGGCAACGGGGTTCCTGTCACGCCTGCCTTCAACCAGGACGCAAACGACTCTGCGGGTGGACTTGCTAGCGGAGAAGTAACATGGAAGATGAAGGGCGTGGAGGTTGAAGTGATCGTTGGTGAACAGATTGGCAGAGTGGGCGCCATTACCAGCGTGAGTGGTAGTTCGTGCTCACTCGATGTAGATGGTCGCGTGATCACTGTGTCGTTAAACAGTGTGCGGCCGGTGATGCCGGAGAAACAAGACACTGTGATCATCTTGTCAGGCGATGAAGCAGGCACTAGGGGCTCGCTGATCGGTACAGATGCGTCTGATGGTATCGTCAAGGTTGATGGCGGCTCCGAGATTAAGATTTACGCCATCGCGTCGCTGGCCAAGATAGCGCAGTAAAATAGGCACGGATGGAAACAGGCAACAACAAGCATTCATGACTTGCAGCATACAAACGAAGCTGTCGCCCATTAGTATTGACAAACTAACACGCATTCACAGACTAGTGTTTGACCGCTTTTGTTGGAGTCGCCTACATTAATATGATATGTTGAAACGGCGCGTTGAGGGCCAGGCGTCGCCCACACTGACTGTCGAAATGCCGCTAGTATTGGTGGGTTAAAAATCGCTTTGTGCACTAGACTTCCTTCACGGGCATTCGTGCCACTTCTCTGAATCTCAGGCATCTGAGCAAAGGGCTTTTGACACAAGGCAACAGTGCTCTGCTGTACGTTGAAGCGGATTGGTGGTGAAGAGACTCTGGACTGCGATGGTAATGGTCAACGGCGCAGCAAACCATTCTGAGATGCAACCGCCGCGAGTTTAGTGCACTTGACCTTTGGCCATATGCTGATGAGGTTGATGACTCTTTTCGCACAGAAATGGCAGACCAAATCGTGTCTTTTCTTTAGGTCAACTCATTAAAGCGCGACGATTGATCCGTGAAAGGTGACTGGAATCGCTCCATGAATGTTCGCACAAGCAAGACATACTTTCGTGTCAGTTACTCACAGTGAGCAACTTAAACCAGAACAGTGTAAATAAAGTCGTTGCTCTTTGAATCGAGAATGCGCAAAAGCTTCTCGGCCGAGCACACCGCGGCCAAGCTTGGATTTTGTGTAGCACTGCGGTTTATAAGTTTCGTGCGCATATGATGCACTCAAGCCTGGTCCTTAAATTACATAGAGCTATTCTTGCAGTGTGCTGGAGTCTGCACCATTTTTTGATGCCACGACGACGTTATACTGTATCTGCTGACATCACCACGATAATAAGCTTGCAATCTTAACGCTGGCGCAGGCACGAGTTGTCATATCTTCATTATAGCAGTCTACAGCCCATCAACACTCTAGACCACATTATAAAACGCGCTCTAAGAACTATGGCGCATTTCATTTAAAGTCCTTGTATCCGTATTTTCCTAGCATCCGTCACGTTTAGAGCACATGGGCGCAATTAGCGCATTTGCAGGTAGCCCTCTAAAATTTCCGCGACTGAATTGACGGTACACCAACCAATACCCCGTCGACAACATCTCGTAGCAGCCACTCAAGTTGAACGTTTGCAATTTCAACTCCGAGCGTTAGCTGACACTAGAAAGCGATCACTACTAGAATTTGCTCGAGGCCCTGGATTGTGGTATCAAAGCCTTCGAATATCTAAGGGTGACACAGCGATCGACTAGGTGGGCCTTGACGGTCCATGTGCACCTCTGACCCATCCCGGTGCATAATTTATAAGTGCTTCGCTGCGCGATAGATTCATAGCGTGTCAACGTGTCCAGATGCTAATGCCTGAAGTCAACACTTGCAGCATAGGAACTGACAGCGCCGTAAATGAGCAATCGAGCTTGCGCAGCGTTTCAACTACAAGAAAGCATAGGTCAATTTGTAGTTCACAAAATGTGTCAGCTGGCGCAGTCGAACGTGTAAATGATAAACTACTTGCTAAGGGGCAAAACCAATGAGGACAAGCGTAACACTGCCTTGACATTCGTCGGACTCGCAATGCACGTCAAGTAAATAATCGATGTTTTGGTTATTACGCAACAGCAACAAGAGGCCCACGTAGTTCCGAGGATTAAATAGTAATACAAAACTGCCGTGCATGGTAATGTATATCGAATGGCATTTTTTTAGGGAACTGCTACTTCCACCGCACTTTTTGCTATTTTCACCACGCCATAACTTTTGCACATTTTTACTATTTCCATCACACCATACATTTTGTTTAAATAGCAAAACACAATACCACCCCGGAAGGCTTGAGCTAGCTTAATGCTAGTCAGGCCTTAGACGGATGCTTCGCGGTATCCGTCAGTTTAAGACGGGTTTCTCTCCCTCTACATACCTCTCTCTTGCCGCTCTCACCCCCAGCCGCCAGTCAAACCGCCACGATGTACGCCGTCACGCCCGAAGTCTCGAAGTCCCGGAATCTCGCTTAGGTACGCTCGCGTAATCCTTTATTATACGGTGCAAGCAACAAGAGACCCTTCCTGGGTAGGACCTGTTGACATGATAGACATTCAAGGGATATAAGCAAGAAACCTACCGCTGGACACTGTCGTCGACTGGCCCCAGACCTGCACCTCCTTTGCCTCTGTGCACAGGATCATGCAGCCTAGACGGCCTTTAGCGCGGCGCATATAGCGCGCGCCGTTTAATGGACCCTGGCGGAGTAGAGAGAAATGTAGAGAAGAGAGATAATCCGACACATGCGGAAGTTGAGCCACTTTGGTGGCAGGACGGCTTGCGTAACGCGTTAACATACATACATACAATACCACACCACCACACCAGCTCACCACACCATATAATGACGAAACTCAACACACAGACCAGACCGTCTTCGCGGACCGAGACGCGCTTATATATCATGTCATGAAGTATGAACTGGAGGGAGGTTACGCATTCACGATCAAACTGTTAACAAACGATCGTTTTTTGACAGGTTGCAAGGTGTTGAAGGCATGGGCTATACCCTGTGACCGGTAAGTTGCGACCGCACCCGAATTGGCTAATGTTGTGACATCTTAACAGATGTGGCGAAGCGGGATAGAACGAAGACTACAGACTAGACATGGTATAGTCGCAGTTGACTCTATCGTACATGTTAAAGCACTAGCGAAGGAGAGTAGTAAATGCTTAATATATTTTACTTTTACTCCTACCTCTACGTGCACAAGTGCACCACTACTTCACTCCACGCTTACATAAACGATCGAAAAAAACGCGCACCCATCCGCATGTGGAACTAGTTTGGTTTAGATTGGAACCTTGATGGCTCATTTCGAAAGCGAATATTACCCCATATTTCAAAGAGCGTAAAAGCGGGACACGTTTGACCGACTGCAGGTGGAAAGTGTTGGAATAAGTTGAAGAACAGTGGAAGTTGCTGGCAGTTGGCAGTGGATGGCAAGGCATGTGAATGGCAGTTGGTGTGCTTCATGGTTGAAGGTATGAGAGGGGAGTCGTGCTGACGCAGAGTCCCAGGTTGTACTTGCCAACTGGCATAGGTCACGAAGAGATGTATGTTAGGACAGTAGGGCTTGTGTTGTATGGTAAAAATGAACGACAGTTCCGAAATTGCATCGTGTGACTCAAGTGCATATTACAAAAAGTAGTTGAAGCTCAGCAAAACGATGGTTGGCATCTTGAAGTGAAGTGCGATGAGCAGCACCACACCCCATCGACCAACCTTGTTGGACATCTGAGTTGTCGGCGCCTGAACATAATTACAAGTGAGTTTGTGGAGAAAACGATAGAAGCTGGTGTGCCTCCGCGCCAAAAGCTGACATCGCTCTACTAAGAGGACCCTACATGTTATTTGACTGCGAAAACAATCTATAATGCCAAAGCCAAACGTCGTCGTGTCATATTAGACGGCAAACGCCGATCCAAGCGCTGATGGACGAGCTTGAATCTGAATAGTTCTATCGCGCGCTCGAATGCATCATGTAAAACGAATTCTTTTTGCGCATGTGGACTCTGACGCTCCAACCAGCTCATGTCAGTGCTTTTGTTAGACTGCACTCGCAAGACCAACTGGCTCCAGATGCCGTTGCTACACTTCGTCGGCCAAACAAACCCAAACACCAGTTTCGATTGGATTCGCCTTTCTAAGCAGAGAAGATATACTTGATTATATGTGGGATTTAAAGGAGGTTGGCCAGCTGTATGTCTATGACGCACGTTTGGCTGTGGTAGTCTCCGATGCAGATGCTTTATTGGCAGCAGCATTGGCACTTGTAACTTCTGGCTCTCGCCACCTTTTGTGCTTATGGCACATTATTTTTTTGCAATGACAAAGCCGCATTTTGAAGACAACGACTACCATGTGGCACTCATGCAGCTTTGAACCGTCCTTTGTCAAGCCCACACACCTGACGAGTTTCAAGTACGCAGGGATCACATTTTTACCGACTTCTCACATTTGCCGGCAAAGTGCACATACTCACAGAAACATGGTTTTTGCACAAACAGAAGTTTGCCGCATCATGGACTAGCGATTACCAATATCTCAGCAATACATCAGCATTAACTTTGCTCTTCTGTGAATGCCCTCTAGACAAGCATGCATGTCCCGCCCGGTCCACTCGACTTATTCGAGTGGTGGAACTTTAGAGCTACCTGTGCTTGTGCACAGCCGCCGGCAGCTTGCTCCACAGCGTGACTGATTGTCACGCTGAGTTCTTGTGCAGTCGTATTAACGACCGAACCACTCACCCGTAATAAATTTACAATCTTGTGAATACTCAAGACGATAATTTAATATCCATCTGATGAAGAAGCGGCAGGCATCTTCATGGTTCGATGCTGCCAGCTAATCCATGGCTCGTAACGCCTGAGATATGGCAATCTTAGAATGACATCGAATTTTTTATCTAGATCGGGTGCGATGATATCATCATCGTACTCTTTACCTTCAAGCGTATAGAAAATTCCCACTTCACGTTGTTTACTGTTACGATGCGCCAAATGTAAGGCGCACCGTCATCCTCGTGGGACGGTTCTTGCTCTCAACACATTTTGAGGATACGATCATCTAGCGACTGGCGTCGGACAATTTTTTGGACGCTCCACAGTCAACTAGGGCGTCAGTGACATGCCTTTTGTCATAGGGGTGATGAGGGATATTTCATCACTAGCAGCGGAACACACAGTGACTGTGTGTTGGGAGCAACCTTCGTCAAGAGTCCCGCAAACTCTCTTGACGTTGCTGGATCAGTAGGGCGCTTCGCCCCGACTGACCCCGACCGTTTTTTGATGGTCCACCACATTGTTGCGATTTAGCAGCAGCGTGGAACCCACGTCTTTGTCCCTTTTTGGCTTATGGACGATTTTCACTCCAGCGTTACGAGACACTGGGCGTGGGGCGCTAGTTTAATAGGCGTAGTGACC